TGGGCGTCAGGAACTTGTCGCGCATGGCCTTGACCTTCCGCCACTCGGTCTTGACCAGCCGCATCACCGCCTGTGTGAGCCGCTCTTGCCCCTCCGCGCCAGGGATGCTCACCATCCGATGCTGAACGACAGACAGATGGATGGATGGATGCATGGATTTATGTGTCTCTGTGTCTGTCTGTCTGTCTGTGGCTTGGTGTGTGTATGTGTGTGTGTGTGTGTGTGTGGCTGAGTGTGGTTGACTCTCTCTCTCTCTCTGTGTGTGTGTGTGTGTGTGTGTGACACTGTGTGTTCAGGCGGGTCAGAGGTTCGTGGGCCCCTGGATGCTGGAGAATCCTCTGGCCAGAAACCTCACCTTCACGGCGGCGCTGGCGGTGTTTTCCGTGTTTGCTCACTACGGCGTGGACGAGCCGATGCGGGCATTCCTCAATCTGGGCAAGAGGGGCCACAAGTAGAGTGACTGACTGGTCAACATGACATGCCCGTGTGGAGTGTGTGTGGGGGCTGCTGAATGGTCATCCCTGTTAAGTAGTCACAATGGCATGGCAGTCAATAAGCTGTACTACAAAGCTGTAATTAGCAATGTGTGTATTGGCCCGCCAGCGCGGGACCGAGCGAGCGAATACACACAGTTGCACCCACACACACACACCCTCACACAGAGGAAGGAAGCTTGTCACTTCTTCAGAGACAAGCCTCCTCTCCCTTACCCCTTTCCAGGGCCCCCCACTCCTTATGCAGTCTCCTTTATACTTCCTCTCTTTTGGCACTCCCCAGCAAAATCAGGACAGGAGAGAGAGAGAGAGAGATCAAGTGTCTCTGCTGTCTACTTGGAAGGCAAAAATGCCGTCTGCTCGAGTGGGTTCTTGGCGACGGGCTCGGCTCGCCGGCGCCAAGAACCCACGAAGGAGAAGAAGACCAGCAAATGGCCGATGTGCACTGATGCAGTGCACGAACAAAAGGAGATGCACTGGAGGCGTACGTCTTGTGTGGTGTGTGCTCTACAGAACTACGGAATCCTTGATAGATATGGACCCCCCAGCTACGGAATGCCGGCCGCCTACCAACCTACCAACACACGAACTCTCCCACTCTCTGACTCACATGTAGTTCATATTGCGCGTAGATATGCCCTGCGGCGGCTGCACACACACATACACACACACACACACGCACATAGCAGGGCTGAGGGAGACACGCATCGCGCCTCTGCCCATACCGGCTGAGCAATGAACTCCGTGGGGTACTCGTCAGGTATCGAGGACCTTGGCGGACTACCACCACCACCACTGCTGCTCAGCCGGGCAAACTCCTCCTGACACAGCACAACACACACAACGAATTACAAAACACAACGCTCGAACGCTCCCTCCGTCCGTTTGTCTCTATTCCACCTGTATGGTCTTGAGCTGGTTCATCATGGCCGCCATCGACACGGGTTCGACCGGACCAGCCCCACTTCCACCGACCCCCCCTCCGCCAATCATGGGAGGCATCATCATCATGCTGCTGCTGTTGTTGACCATGCTCTTCGCACTGGGCGTACTCGGTTGCTGTGGCTGCTGGTGTGGTGACGTTGGCTGGGATATGGGGGTTTTCTGCTGCTGCTGCTGCTGCATGGGCTGCATGGGCTGCATCATCTGTGGGGGCATGCTCATCAGGGTGCTGGTGTTGTCTAGCTGGGGCAAGGCGCGGCCCTGCAGCTGCGCCAGGACCGTTGCCAGCATCTTGGTGCTCCTGCGGCGCCTACACACACCACACACACACACACACAGACAGACAGACAGAGAGAGAGTATGGTGGAAGTGTGTGTGTGCGCGTACCGATCCCCTCTAATTCCCTTTTCGGGGTCTCCGTCTTTGCCGTCGTCGCCCTTGATGGGCTCGTTGAGCAGCTTGGGCTTCTCCTCCTCTACGCGATCGAGGAACTCCAAATCACCCTGAACAGATGCACATTGAGACGAGTCAGAGTATCGTGCGTGTGCGTGTGCGTGCGCGTGTGCGTGTGTGTGTGTGTGTGCGTGTGCTTTGCCGACTGCTTGTATCCTTGCGAGTATCTGTCCGATCCTCGAGGCCTCGTCAGCCTTCTCCCATGACTCCATCTCACCCTTGAGCATCGCCTGCTTCCACGCCGTCTTCACCTGACACACACATCACACACACACACACACACACACATTGGTGTCTTTTGCACGTCTGCGTGTGTTGGGGGGAGAGGAGGGAGGGGGGGCTTGCCTGGAAGATGTACATTGAGAATCCGACTTTGGCGACCAGGTCGCAGACGGTGAAGATGATGTCAAACAAGTCACCGCTCATGACGTCGAAGCCTACACAGAGACACAGAGGGACAGGGAGGGCCCTCTCTCCCTCTCTCCCTCTCTCTGTGTGTCTGCAACCCTCAGCACCTTCTGGGCCGATGAGCCAGGTGATGGGGAAGGGGATCCAGCTGAGCATGACCACGAGCGCCGTCTTGCGCAGATAAGACGTCCCTGCACACATCCATATGGCCGCAGTGCACAGTGAAGAATGCCATCACACACAGACAGAGACAGGGACGGAGAGACAGAGCAATGAAGCCAATCGCCCTCCCCCTGGGTGTCTGCCGCCTGTGTGCTACACGACCGACCCGACCTTCGAAGAGGTTTTCTTTGAAATTGGTTGATTCCTGTATCACCAGGTTCATGGTGTAGATGACGATGCCGAAGAAAAACGCCCCGCAACAAAACACAATCATCTTGTAACCCCGCTCAGGAATGATACTGAAGAGAAGAAAGAGAAACGACGAGAGAGAGAGAGAGAGAGAGAGAGAGAGAGACCATCCACACACCCCCTCCTCACGCACACGCCCACACCCACCTGGCAAAAAGGGCGAAGGAGAGCATCATGAATGTCTGCAGGGTGATCTCGACCTTCCGATGGAACGCCCCCCCTCCCAACTCCACCAATTGGTAGGTAATCACCGGGCAGGTCACACAGTACTGCACATACTTGGCCGTGTCCACCTCGAACCCGTTGTCGAGGCGGATGTTGTCCAGCCTGCTCAGCTGCACCAGGTTGAACAGGCCCGTGTACAGCAGCATGAACGAGTTGACCGCCGAGCAAAAGTTGAAGCGCCGCTCTCTCTCGTTGGGCACGTTCGGGTCGGGCCGCTTGTTCCACAGCCACAGGCCGAACGCTGCAGATGGACGGACAGACAAAGAGCAGTTCTCATCCCTCCCCGCCCCCGCTGCACACTGCACGGCAAACCTGAGAAAAAGATGGTTGAGAAGATCCTGGAGCCCAACTGACCAGCAGAGAGAGAGAGAGGGAGAGAGACCGACAGGCGTACAGCACAAACATACCCCGTCCCCCCCACGGGAACCTACCACTGCGTCGCTGAGGTCCATGGGGCTGCCATCGTCGTCCTCTTTCTCTGGCGCTGACGTCTGGCCATAAGCGCCGGCCATCATCACGCTGCAGCAAGCCACCACGCCACCCAGTAGCAACCACCACGGTGACCTTTGTGCACCCGCCATCCTTGGGGGAAAGGGGAGGGAGGGACGATATCGGGGCCGGATTTGGGGCCCGGCCCGGATCGTCGCATGCGCGTCACCTTGCCGTCGGACTCTGGCTGCACTCGTAGACGTGCGGCGATCGCGACGTTTGCGGCCGCATGATGGGAGAAAAGTCACCAAATGGACGGGGAGGGGAGATATATCCCGGGAACGACGCCGCCGTCATCAAAAGTCGGGGTGGGCGTATTTAAATGGTCAGACCCCATACGGACAGATACAATCGTCACTTCGGGCTGTGTAGATGAGTTCTCGAGATACACTGTAGGTGAGAAGCACCATTGCTTGTTGCTTGTTGCTTGTTTTGTGTGAGTGAGTGAGTGAGTGATGTCGATGGGTGGGTGGCTGGCTGGTGATTGAATGGATGGATGGCTGCAAGTGCATGGTGAATCAATGAGTCTGTTTCTCGTGAGAACGTGCTACCTGTGTCTGTGTGGTGTCGACGCCTGTCTGTGTGTACAGGCGGTGTGTCAGGATTGTTTTGAGAAGTGCATGGCCTGGCCTCCATGCCGACAAATTGCGCTTAACACACTCTCCCGCTGAAAAGAGGTTGAGTGAGTGTTTGATTCAGACAAATGGATTCGTGCATGAATGATTAACAAACGTGTACTGTACACACGCGTTCACTCTCCCTGATCGATCAATCAATTCATCAGTCCGTCGTCAAAACCAACAACCATGACTCAACGCGCTCTGCTGCTGGCGTGTTATTGGTGTCTCATCGCCGCTCTCAGCAGCGGCTGCGATGCCTATCAGCTACCTGAAGCAATCACGCAGGAAGTCTCGGCGGCACTCATGCGGTCAGGCCAAACACACGAATCTCACTGCAGCGTACTTCATTTGCTTGTCAATGCAGGAAGCATGGCTCAGGATACGTGGCGTACTTCCGAGGCATGCTGGCCGACCTGGGCAACTCGACCATGGACGACAGCAACGACCTGCACATCATGCCGCCTCTCGACGACACAGACGAGCGGCAAATCACTCTGTCACTCAAACCTGACGAACAAACCATCTACGTCAGCCACACACACACACATACACACACCAGGCCACAGACAGACCGACAGACAGACACAGAGACACATAAATCCATGCATCCATCCATCCATCTGTCTGTCGTTCAGCATCGGATGGTGAGCATCCCTGGCGCGGAGGGGCAAGAGCGGCTCACACAGGCGGTGATGCGGCTGGTCAAGACCGAGTGGCGGAAGGTCAAGGCCATGCGCGACAAGTTCCTGACGCCCAACCAGGCCCGATTCCAGGAGATCAACGCACTGGCCAAGCAGCTTCCCTTTGCCAAGGGAGGCAACGCATACAACAACCAGTAAAAATGGATGGATGGATGGATGGGTGGGTGGGACACGACACTGTGTGTGTGTGTGTCGGTAGGAACACTGACACTCCATGTGGGAGTGCAGCCGAGTGCGAGCGCATGCAGGAAATCGTCAACAAATGCTACTTCATCCGAAACGGGGCACAGACAGGTCAATGCGACAACCAACCAGGAGATTGATGGATGGATGCAGAGGTTGTGTGTCTGTTTTAGGTTACAACATGTTTTCGATGATCAACAGCGTGCTCGCAACTTTGATGGGCGTCCTGTGCGCGTGCATCTTCGTGTACAAGTGAGCCGGAGACACAGAGAGAGACAGAGACAGGGATGCATCCACCCATCCTCTCTCTGTGCCTTCGCATGTCAGGGTGCAGGTGTGTGCTTTGATCAACTTCGCATACGCATGCGTCTTCCCCGGCAAAGTGAGTACGTCGGCGCCTGTGCGCGTGTCTCATAACGCCCATCCATGTGTGTGTGTGTGTCCATTCGCGTGTGTGTGTGTCAGGTCTACACAGCTCTGTTCACCGCTCAGGGAGCATTTGGGAAGCCGTCAAGGCAACCACGACGCAGTGCCGCATGTACGGGGCGCCACAAGTCTCCATGCTGCCTGGTTTGTGAGAAAGTGACGTTCGAACAGACACAGACAGACACACAGACGTTCGCAATGATGAGTGAATGAATGGTTGAGTCCGTGTACACGAATGTCCAACAGTCGCACTCTCTCCTGTGCCACGCGCCAAGAGCGATGGGCAGCAGGAAGCATGAGCTAACATGCTTCCCACTGGTCATCGCCGTGACTGCGCAACAGGGAAGAGCACCGACGGCTACGAAGACATACCCGCACTCTCACACGCTCGTCCGTTCGTGGGCCTGCCTGCTGCTAGTCTGCATCTGGAGAGCTAGCTGCCTACACTGCACAAGACTGTAGCTGGCGTGCGGTGAGCGGTCTTTCTCTCGCGCACGAGCCCTCTCTACGGACGCATTGATCACGCATCTATACCCTTCCTTCATTGTACTGTACTCATCAAAATCGACCCGCCACGCACCACCACTTACCCACTTACCCACCTCTGGATAAAAATCAAAACGGCCAGAGGTGTGCTTACACAGTTTAGTCACACACAGACGTACAGACAGGAATGTAGATACGGCAAGGCTATGTACACTCGACTCACGTACGTACGGACCCACACCGGCAGCCCAGACAGACAGAGGCGGCCGACCGACGGACCGAGCGACCGACACGTGAACCTCTCAAACACTCTCCCCCTCCCCCGCCCCCCCCTGCCTTCTCTCTCTGTACACACCACGCACATCCATGCATGCACACATGTACGTATCTATCTACCTGTCTTCCTCGCTCATTCCCACGTCTGCGACTCGATCTTGGGCCCTCTCGCCCTCTCGCCCGCCACCCCATCCAACACGCCAGCACCAGCACCACTGCCCCCGCCATTAATGACGCGAGCCGGTTGCTCGGTCTCGGTGGGGTTGTAGGGCTCGTGTGGCTCCAGAGCTGACTCGTTCCTCAGGGCGTAGAAGGCCATGCACGCGTGCGGCGATGACGTCACGCTCACAGATGCGTGCAACGCCTGGTGGTGGTGATGGAGAATAGAGAGGAAAGAACAGATTGCATACGCCTCAGATATGTGTGTGTGTGGTGCTGGCTGACCTCCAGGTGTGCGTGGGCGGTTTTGTTATTGCACATGATGAGCGTGGGGATGTCGTCACAATAATCGTCACGCACCTGACACAAAGCACAGGAAACAAACGGCATTTGATCGACCTGCGCGCCCACGTGTGAATCTGGACATCCACACCTTCTGCGCCAGCAGGCCCCCGGCTTTCGTGTTTCGATGCCCGTCGGCCTCCATGCTGCAGGCGGCACAGACAACCGACCACGACACACACATCCACACACACACGGCAGAGCCGATATACATTGTCATCCATCGTGCCTCCCTCCCCACGCATTGACGGACATGATCTGGTCGGTGATGATGTGCAGTGAGGGGCAGCAGAGCAGCGGCACCTGCACCTCCATCTCACCAAACCGGTAAGTGGCCCCAGACTCCAACGCATTCAACGCCAGACGGGGAGACGTCTTGACACTCACCTGCACCAATCACCCCATCCAAACGCAGATCAGATTGATACTCAATCAACATGTGGATGTGTGTGCAGTGCAGTGCACACTGACCTGCCAGCCCTGGTCGCACGCGTCGTTCAGCAACTCGAGCACCGCTCCCGATGGACAGTCGCAGCACCACACGAGCTGTGGACTCGACGAGGCGTACCACACCAGCCGGAATTTGTCAACCCACGTCAGGTGGTCGCCCACCCGCCGATGCCGCTCCCACACCGCCGGCACCACACACTCGGCGTCTCCCACAGACACCGTCCGCGACGTGGCACGCGTCGAGGTCCTGTCGTCTTCTTCACCAATCATGCCATCCAACTCTGCACAATCGCGTGGCTCCTCCGGCCCGTCGGAGGCCGCGTCGAGCGTCTCGATGGTCGGGGCGGGCTGTGGCCTGGCGAGGCGCAGCGGATGGCGGTTCTCGCGTAATGGGTGCGTGACGGACGTGCCGTTGGCCTGCAGTGTGGATGGGCCGTACAGAGGGAGGCTCCGTAGAGTCGGCAAAGATGCCAGAAGGCCTGCAACAGAGAGAGACATTGATGTGCCTTAAGCATGTCCACAGATGGCGGCAAGATCTGGTCTGGGCGCGATTGGCCGAATGTACCTCTGTTCATCAATCTGCGCCAGAACGTCTCAGACAGGAAGCGCCGCCCAAACCGGTTGCGGCGCACCAACACAGGCCACATGTCCATCTGACAAACAAACAAACAAACACACACACACACAGAATTGCCAATGCACACATGCTGTCTGTCATCGCTCGGCGAGTGTTGGCGCACCTCTGCTGTGAGTGAGAGGCCCGTGTTGCTGGTCTGCATAAGGACGAAGAGGTCCTTGGCGCAGAGGAACGCCAGCAGCTCGGTGAACAGGGCATCTGGCACGTGCAGGATGCGGTCGGATGGACCCGCTGACGAGCCCATCTTGCCGCCTCGTCGTCAAACCCGATGGGTCAAGATGGTGAACGTCCCTCACTCTGCCCGACGGCTGGCGCCAGCCAGGGCTACCAAGCAACCTTTGCCCGGAAGGCGAGCTGTGAGAGGAAGGCTAAGCTCGCGGGCGCCAGCAGAAGGCGGCGTCCTAGACATTCAGTATGTTCAATACGTGATCCAGAAGCAGGTTATGAAGAGATCTCGTCTGGTGATGCACACACAGGTGAGTGAGCGCGTTTCCTTCGTCCTGTGTTTTGCATCTCCTGTTGGCTGCTTGCACTGCAGACGCGTCCCATCTGACTGCGCTCACTCGATGAAGACCTCCACATCAGCGGGGAGGCGGCTTGACCGCATTCATCGACACTTCTCGTCCACCAGTGCTGCCAGGAGGAATGACAAATCAGCCACTCCCATGGGCTGGCTGTCCATCGGTGACGTATCGACGGCCATCTACAAGCCAGAGCGGCCCTCCCTGGTGCCACGTGGACACCACCTTTTCGGAGAGGGCTCACACGAGGTGCTGGATCACCACCGGTGGATGCTGCAGAAGGACCTCTCCCAACAGGACATGTGCCTCATCGGTCGGTCAGCTGCACAAAACGGACGGGCGGAACAACACCCACACGTGGATGAGATGACCTGATGCATTACACTCCCTTATCCCCTGCGCTTGTCTGACTCACAGGCCCTCCTGGCTCATTCAGACGGGAGCTGGTTTTGCGGTTCTGTGAGCTGACGCAGCGGGAGGTGGAGTACCTGTGCATCTCGCGCGACACGTCTGAGGGTGATCTCAAGCTGAGAAGGGAGCTGGGCGGCAACGCCACCTACTACGAGCAGCAGGCCCCGGTGCGTGCGGCCATCCATGGGCGAGTGCTGCTGATAGAGGGGCTGGAGAAGGCCGAGAGAAACGTCCTGCCGACGCTCAACAACCTGCTCGAGGTGGCTGACACACACACGGATGAAGCCCACGCACGCCCATCTTGGTCATTTCTGCTCTCTGCTCGTCTCATCAATCAGAACCGAGAGATGAACCTTGACGACGGCCGCCTTCTCATCAGCGCCGACCGCTATGACGCCCTCACCGACGACGCCTCACGAAACAGCAAGTCCCACCTGGTCCGTGTCGACCCCCGTTTCCGCGTCATTGCCCTCTGCATTCCCTGCCCACCATATGCTGGCCACCCCCTAGACCCGCCGCTGCGGTCTCGCTTCCAGTCACGCGTCGTCACCCCGCCCAGCCTCCTCACCCACGATGCGGCCCAAGACGACGGCAGCAGGGAGCTTTTGCAGCGCCTCCAGGGGTCGTTTGAGGCCCTGCGGCTGATAGAGAATCAATCTCAGTCGCTGGGCGGCATGGGACGGCTCCCGCACGTGTCGTTCGACTGCGGGAGGAGGGTGCTGGGTCTGGTGTGCCAGCTGCCGGAAGGGGCGCGGCCGAGTGTGTGGGGTGCGATGATGCGATCATGGCCGGCCAAGTGGATGGATCACAACACGGGGCGAGGCAAGAGGGAAACAGTGGCAGACGGAGAGGCGCAGCCGGCGGTTGAGGAGTCTACGCATGTGGCGACAAGTCGGCGCATCTTTAACCATTTCCAGCTCCCTTCTGATGCAGCTGCCGATGAAATGACCGCTCTGCCCGGTGCTGTTCGTGCCACACCTGCCGGCGACCATCTATGCCGCATCGACCGGCTGGCCAGCGTGCCGTGCGGACCATCGTTGGAGCGAGAGAGGGCGTTCGGCCAGGACGATCCGGCTTACGTGACGACAGACGGTGTCCGGAGGCTGCTCAATGGCGTGCTACAGGACCATGCGAGCGGCTCAGACGTCTGTCTCATAGGCCCCCCCGGCTGTGGCAAGAGCGCCTTCGTCCGTCAGCTCGGCCGCTTCCTCGGCTACGACGGCAGCAGCACGGAGCATATCTTTCTTTACGAAGACATGAGCTCGCGCGACCTCCTGTTGCGCCGCATTACCGATGAGGAGGGCCAGACGCGTTGGCAAGAAGGGCCGCTGGTGAAAGCCGCGAAGGGAGGGAAGCTGCTGGTGCTGGATGGGCTGCAGAGGGTCCCTCCGGATGTGCTCTGCGTGGTCGGCCCTCTGCTGACGTCGCGGTTCCTTCCTCTGCGGCTGACCGAAGACGGCGAGACTCTTGTGCGCCACGATCGTGCGCAGCAGCACGGAGACGGCTCCATGGTGCCGATCCGCCCCTCGTTTCGCGTCATCGCTCTGGCCACGCCACCAACCGCCAAGACACGGTGGCTCACAGACGAGGTTGCAACTTACTTCTCTTTCCACGCCTTCCCAGTGGCCGATCGGTCCGACCTCTCACTCATCCTCTCATCGCGCTTCCCCTCCTGCCCATCGCCGGCGATTGACACACTCGTCAGCATCGCTGACAGACTTGAGACATCTGGGCGTGCACAGCTCAACGAAGCCCACCCTCGGCTTTCACTGCGGCAGCTCATCCGCGTGACCAGGGGGCTCTGTGAGCGGAGGGGCAGGGAGGACGGTGGTGGGTCGTTGCCTGTCCGTGCTGAGATGGACCGCCTCATCAGGAAGCAGACGCTGTACCCGTTCATGCCCCTGTCGGCCCGAATGCAGCTCGATGAGGCTCTGGAGGTGACCAAGTCCCATGCGGGCATGGAGGAATGGGCCGCGGCAGTAGCCAGTGGTGCGAGGGAAGCCCCGTCTCCCCCCTCCCCTGCTTCGGCCGAGATGGTGCGTGTGGGGTCGATTGAGATGCCTGTGGGTCGGCCGATGAGGCCCGAGCTGGTGCCAAGGGTCACTTTCACCAGCATCGATCGCCACCAGAGGGTGCTCGAGGATCTGGCGAGGGACTTCACAAGCGGGGAGAAGCACGTGCTCGTCATCGGTAAGCCAATATCTGCGCTCGGCATGGGGCCGTCCGTCCGTGTGAGTGTATGATGTGTCTGGTGCTTTGTTGACACACAGGTCCTCAGGGGGTGGGGAAGAACCGGATTGTGGATTATTTCTGCCAGCTGCTGCGTCTGGAGAGGGAGTACCTCCAGCTGCATCGCGACACCACAGTGCAGGCCCTCACTGTCTTGCCCGCTCTGAGGGACGGCCGCCTCGTATACGACGACTCGCCACTCGTCAAGTCAGCACCACCACCTCTCACACTCACATGCTGTTGATGCATTCATGTGTGTGCCCTCGTCTTTGTGTCAGAGCGGTGACTCATGGGCGTGTGTTGGTGGTGGACGAAGCCGACAAGGCGCCTCTGGAGGTGGTGGTGGTGCTCAAGAGCCTGGTGGAGGACGGCACCATGGCCTTGTCTGACGGCCGCACCATTACCGCCCATGAAACCGATGATACCAATGTCGGCAAGACCATCTGTGTGCATCCCGGGTTTCGGATGGTCGTCTTGGCCAACCGACCCGGCTTCCCATTCCTCGGTATTGTGTGCACCCAGGACGCCACACACACGTGTGTGGAGCAAATGGGTGTGTATGTTTGCTCTGCGTGGGTGTAACTGTGTGTGTGACAGGTAACGACTTTTTCCGCGAGTGTGGTGATGTGTTTGCGGCCCATCCGCTGGACAACCCCGACACAGAGAGCGAGCTGGAGCTGGTCCGCTCGTACGCACCGAGGGTGAGTGAGGGGGTGCTGCGTCAGCTGATCGGGCTCTTCACAGAGCTCCGTACACAAGTGACGGAAGGCCGGCTGTCGTACCCCTACTCCATGCGGGAGCTCATCAACGTGGCCAAACATCTAGATCGCTTCAACGACCCCCTCCCCACCGTGCTCGAGAACGTCTTCGGCTTCGACCGGTTCGACCCGGTGACCAAGGAGCTGATGCCGATCTTTGCACGACACGGCATCCCGACAACCGATTCCACGCGGCACATGACCCTCATGGAACGTGTGAGGCATGCCCTGTCGACCATCTCCCTCTCGGCCGTCATGCACCTGAATGAGCCACAGCAGACGGGCCGGGTGGCGCTGCCAGAGTCTGTGCGCGTGCAGGGCGACATGCGTCAGTGGCGTGTGGTGGGGGGCGATCCGTGGCTGGTGGGGCAGGAGGTGATTGGCGGAGTGGAGGTGCGGGAGCACCCCTTAGGTCCCCCGCAGATACTTCCTGTGGCTGATTTCGCTGCGTGTCGCACTCATGGGTGAGGGAAAGACAGAGATTGCACATGAGGCACCGGCTACGCGTGCGTGGTGTTGTGTGATGTGGTGTGATGTCGGCAGGTTCTCGGAAGTGCTGTATCAATGCCGTCTGCCCGTCAACACCGCCAAGGCATCCTCCCTACAGCCCACTCCAGGCTCCTTCGTGTCGGTCGCCATGCCGCCCCACGGCCACCCATCCCCCTCCCTCTTTTTCCTCTCGTCATGGCCGCTCACCGTCTTCGCCATGACCGACCCCACACAGCAGCCCCTCATCGGCCACCCCACCTGCCAGAAGCTCGTCTTGACGCGCAACACATACGGCAGCGGCAGCCCCATGGCGTCTCAGCTGTGGACCGACCAGCTGGCCACTGGCATTCGCAGGCGGCTCGAGGGGGACCTTCCCTCCTTAGCCCTCCATGTCAACGGCCGGCGTGTCGACATTGGCGCGCCGCAGCTGGCATGGATTGCCGGCATTGACCGTCTGGTGGTGCACAACCCCTCTGAGCCAGGAGTGCCGCCACTGCTGCTACTCAATGCCATGGAGAATGCCGGTGGGCGGACCACCGCTGCATCGGAGGGCGGGCCAGAGGGCGCACTCATGGCTGAGAGCTGGCGCGTTGGCAGCCTTACCGAGGGAGTGGGAGCGTCTGGATGGCTGCGCAGCAAGGACAGCTCCGCCCGATTCTTCACTCTAGTGCCGATACAAGGACAGGCAGAGCCGTCGACACCAACAAGCGCATATCATCCGGCGGATTGCGCCATGTTCGTGTCGGCGACGCAGCGGCTGCTGATACAGGTGGACTTCAGAAGTCGGCAAGCGAGGCAGATTGCCCTCCAGACGGACGAGGCGCAACCGACGGTAATCGACATATCGGCGTGGAGCGGCCGTGTCGATGACGCGCCTGCGACCCTCGTGTCTGTCAATGGCAAGATCCTGTTGCTGCCGAGCGGATCAGACAGGGGTGCGTGTGTCGAGCTGGAAGTGGCGATGCGGTCGATCGGCCCGATCGGTGCTCTCCCTGGGTCCATTGCGACCTATCAAGACGATCGAGCCGTTCATTTGGCGCACTCTGTGAAAGGCGATGAGGCCATCCTCAGCTACACACCCCCGAGCACAGCAGAGCCCAGCGGCAGTGTCGTCAAGCAGCCACTTCGTCTGCCGATGGCCAAACTGCTTCGGTCACCTGATGGGTGGCAGTACCAGCACTCTCTCGTCGCAACAGATGGCTCAAGGGTCGTCAATCTCTTCACCACCAACACCAAGACCGAGAGCAGCACCAGCAGTCCTGCAGTGATGGAAGTAGTGAGCCTGGCGGACCGCACGGTCACCTCTGTCGACACATCGGCAGCAGCAGCAGGAGCAGCAGCCAGCCCTCCCCCTCACACCCACCCCACAGGCGCAGCTCGGGCCAAGTACCAGCAGAAGCAGGCAGACGCAGTGGTTGGCGTGTGGGAGCTGCACGGCACCCACTTTCTGACCATCACCGCCAACGGCGAAGTCCGGTGGTACCAGGTGGCCGATGCGGCTCTGGCCTCCGCCCTCATGGACTATCTAACCGTCCGTGGTGCGCTGCCTGGGCACATCAAACACCACACCAGCAGGGGAGTGGAGAGCATCATCCGGCAGCTCCATGAGGCGATCGCCGACAGTGAGAGGAGAGGTGGAGGGGCGTCTGGTGACACTGGCGGTGGGGAGGCGAAGCAGGCCCTGAGGATGGAGTTCACCCGCAACAAGGATCGTCCTGTGACGGCACCGAAGCACGGCATAGACGACGGCAAGGAGCACGTCGGCGGCGGCACGTTCGCTGGCGGCACAGGTGACACACTCACGCCCTCACAGAGGGGACTGACCACACGCGCACCCAAACACGCATTTGGTGTGTCATGCATGCAGGCGGCTCCGACACAGCCGGGCTCGGCGGAAAGGGCGGCCCGTATCGGCTGGATAAGGGTTTCGACGTCCACCAGCTGGCCGACGACGCCAAACACAACATCTCGCTGGAGGCGCAGAAGGCCGCGCGTGATGCGGGCAGGGAGGCCCTTCGGAAGCGGCTTGACGAGATCAAGATGTCCGAGAGAGACCTGGACCTCTACCTGCGGCTGAAGGAGGGCGTCAGCCAGGAGATAATGCAGCTTAGACAGGTGGGTGGGAGGGAGGGTATGACGCAGACACGTATGGATCTCCTTCCTCTCTGTGTGCGTGTGAGTGCAGATACTGGCGGAGGCCGAAGCGAAGCAGAAGGAGCGAGTCTGGCAGGTGGGTGAGAGCGGCGAGCTCGACGACAGGCGACTCGTCGACGCACTCACGGGCGAGAGGAACGTGTGGAAGCGGAGGGCCGAGCGACCGGAGAACCCCCTATTCACCCCACTGCCCAAGCGCATATCCTTCGTCTTCGACGTCTCGGCTTCCATGTACAGGTGGGTGGGTACCTGCAGAGATGCCCTCGCGCACTCACAAACGTGCAAGGGCCCATCTCTCTCTCTCCGGTGCCAAGCAGGTTCAATGGGTACGACAGCCGACTGCACCGTCTGCTCGAGACAGCCGCCATGTTGCTGGAGAGCCTCTTCTCGCAGACGGCCGACCAGTCACGGCACAAGTTCGACATAGAGATTAGCGGCCACAACGGCGACAACGCGGCCATCCCGTTCGTCCCCTTTGGGCAGCAGCCGGAGGCCACTGAGACTGAGATGGGCCGGCTGCGTGTGTTGGAGAGCATGTATGCCTGTGCCCAGTACTGCTCTGCCGGCGACAGCACGCTCGAGGCCATCAGGCAGGCCATGCAGCGCGTGACGGCCCAGGAGGCCGACGACCACCTTGTCATCTGCTTCAGCGACGCCAACATCGACCGGTCGGCACGCCATCGGCTGTGTGTGCTTCATTGGGGCATGTCGGTCTGTGTGTGTGTGTGTGTGTGTGCAGGTATGGGATAACTCCCGAGCTGCTGAATTCGACGCTCATGAGCGATGCGCGTGTGCACGCCGTGTGCGTGTTCATAGCGGGGTTGGGCGGCCAGGCCGAGAAGTTCGCCGATGCGATAATGGCTGGGAGGGCTGTGGTGTGCAAGAACACCAGAGACCTGCCCGTGCTGATTAAGGACATTCTGGCGGCCAGCGCAGAGGCTCAGTAGTAGAGATCGTGATGTGACGCAGACAGACAGACAGGCAGGTAGGTAGGCGTGTGTGTATATGTTAGGTCTTTAGGGTCTGTTTGTACTTTTGATGGAGGGCGCACACATCATTTGACTTGATGAGACGTGAGTGAGCCCGTGTAAGCATAAATGTTCGCTGTCTGTCTGCATAGAAACCACACAGCCTCAACTCCATCCTACTATCGCGCCTAGCGCTATATGCTGCGTTCAGAGTTCCCTGTACGAGGAGAGCATCTCTCGCGACCTGGCCATTAGCTTCTCCTTGTCGAATCTCACAGGCACTCCTGCATATGCAGGCAACAGTGCATTTGATGCAGTCAGTGCACATGGGCTGCTCTTTATCCCTTATACCGCCTTGGATCGCCTGTCCGACCAGCCCCCGATCTTTCGCGGACATGCAGACAACCAGACAGACACGCGGGAAGTTGGTGTGTATGTGTGTGTGTATGTGTGTTTGCATGTATGTGTGTGGGGGGGGGGGGGGGGGGGGGGGGGGGG